CATCCCCAGTGGTTCCCCAGCCATCATTTACTTGCGGTCGAAGATCTTCCCAGATTCTGGTGACTCTCTGCTTCACCTCCCTGTAATCCACGGGCAGCTGAAGAGTCCGCAGCTCCACGTCCATGTCCCTCCCCAGGCCCAGCTTGGAGAGCTCCTGTAGAAAGACGCAGGCAGGCTCACCTTGCTTGTCGGAGGGCCAGGGGGCTTCCCTGGAAAGCTAACACTTGAGCTTGGTCATCCCACACTCCCAGGAGCCTTCTGTGGTCCTGGACCCTGCCCTCAAGGAGCTCACACAGCAGCAAGGGACCAGCAGGACAACCACCATTCGTGCCCCTCGAGGCCCAGCGAAGCTGCTTCCGTCAGGCGTGGGTGCTCCAGAGGTACATCTGACCCAGTCTGCAGGTTAGAACATAGTTCACAGAGAGGATATAGGGGAGTTCTAAGGGACAGATGGGGCAAGCCGGAGAAAGAAGCTGGGGAAGGGCGTGCTAGGAAGAGGTCACTGTAGAGACACTGGGTGGGGCATATGTGTGTGTGTATTTAGCCTTCCTGGATTCTAACCTCAGAGTTAACTGCAGGGAGCACCCCCAGGCATGTTGACTAGCAACCCTCCATGACCAGTTGTGTCAGGGAGCACAGCACATGGGGGAAGGATGGGAGCAGAAGCTGAAAACACCTGCAGAAGTCAGATTGAGTGCTTAGCTAAAGGTTTGGTTTTCTCCTTAGGGCAACAGGGAGCCATCAAAGGATGTGCACAAGGCACTAATGAGGCAGAGCTGCATCCTAAGAGGATGGAGGAGCAGGTGGAGGTGGACCTGAGGAGTATCATGGGGTTGATTTTGGACCTGCCGAGTTTGAAGTACCAAGGGAGCTGGTCCCTTGGTTCTGTGTGTTTGGAGCTCAGAGAGGCTTCTGGGAGACACTGGCAGCAAAAGCCATGGGTTTTGGTGAGATCCATAGAGACCAGGGTTAGGAGGACAAGAACTGGAAGAAACCCAAGGTTGGGTAGCACCCTCCTTCAAGAGGGCAAGAGGAATGGCAGCCAGTTTGGAAGGAAGAAAAGCAGCAGAGTGAGATCTTAGGGGTGTGCATTTCACTGTTGGCAAACATTGTATCAAATCGGGAACCTAAAAGCATCCCTGAAAAGGCCAAGTCTCTTCCCTGGGCCAGGAGTTGTGCTTGTCACCAGGATGGTTTTGGATTAGTGCCTCGCCTTCCCTGACTCCCTTTCCTGGCATTTCAGGAAATCCAGGCGTGTGCATCCTTGGATGGAGAGGGCAGCCAGGGATGTCAGACCTCCCCAAGTTTGCAACCAGGAGACTACAGGGCCCCGCTCTCGGCCTCGCAGGAGACAGCTGGGCCTGATGTGCCCAGACACAGGTCTGCCTATGCTACTGTCATCAAGGAGGACACTTCTGACTGACTTTGGTGTGTCAAGCCTGTCCTCAGCCAGCTCAGCCTTCCTGAGGGGCTCTGCTCCGTCTTCCAGAAACAACTCAGAAGCCCAGTTCCCTCGACCCACTCAAGCTTTGCTCTCTTCCAAAAGTAAGTGCCAAGACCACATGCCTGACTCTGATGGTAGGGGGCGGGAAGGAGGCTAGGGCATGCCGGGCAGCGAACTGGAGGGCAATGGAAGAAGCAGGCCGAGTTCCCAGGTGAGCATTATAGGGGCAACCCAGATCAAGGGGGTTCCAGGTCTTGTGATGCCATCTTGGCTCCCTGTCCTGAAGAGAATGGGGGGTTGGGCACTGAGAAGCACAGGCTGCAGCTCCTCTGTATGCTCTCAGTTTAGGGAGGGAGGGCTAGAAGGGGTCACTCGGGAGTCCCCTTTCACTTTGTCATGAGGGTGAGGAGACCTTGGCTTGGCTCAGGGCTGCTTTTCAGTACCCAGCCATCCATCTGTGAAGAACTAGGTCTTTCTACCCAGTGGACTTCTCACGGGGCTGGCTCTGAGCAGAGGCTGCAGAGGATCTCTAGAACCAAATGGAGTGGTCTGGGAATCTGCTTTCAGGGCTGTGCCCTGAGTTGTTGTTTTAGTTCTGTTGTCAGTGGTGGCAACATCAATGAATAAGCCTGCAAAGGAAGCCGTGCCTGAGGGCTACAGACGTGCACCCTGAGCACCCAACCAGCCCAGCAGTGATTGGTCAGTGCCTCCTCTTTACATAAGAAGCTCTGCTTCTTGGCTGTTATATATGCAAAGCCCAGACCAAGGCAGGCTACAGCGTGATCCCCTTCTTTTTTTCTTTCTCCCAGCCTTTTCTTTCCATCCCACCCCAAGCCAGTTGAGAGGGGAGAGGAGAGAGAGCATCTCTGGATGTCTGGTAGATCTTCCAGCTGCTGTATGGGTTCAGGGGCTGGGTGTGGGGAACTCCTTGAATGAGTTTCCTGTGGGTATCATAATGAAGTACCACAAACTGGGTGGCTTAGAACAGAAGTTGATCGTTTCACAGTCCTGCAGGAAAGACGTTCAAAATCAAGGTGTAGGCAGGGCCATGCCCCCTCTGAACCTGTAGGAGAAGGATCGTGTCCCCTGCCTCTTCCAGCTTCTTACCAGGCCTTTGTTGGCTTGTGGCAGCGTAGCTCCAGTGCTCACACTGCCTTCCCTCTTGGCACGTCTGCCTCTGTGTCCAGATCACCAGTTTTATAAGGACACTTAACCCATAACACTCCCTAAGGCCGTGCTTCCCAGAAACCTGATGGCATCACTTTTGCCAGAGTAGAAAATGCAGAGAAGCCAAACTGTAGATCCCCCTGGTAATTGGCAAACTCGTGTGGGATGGAGAGTGTTTGACTTTGGACTTGACACCTCTGTGTATTTTACTCATCTGAAAGGTGATGCCCAGGAGATTAAAAGGTCCTGCTTCTGCTTATCAGGTGTTCTTTTCAGGCTTCTACTTGACTGCAGGCTGTGGTTAGAATCCCCCGTTGGATTCAGTGGAACTTGTGGTCTGGGCTGCACCCCATAGCCAGCCAGGAAATGGGAATGTGCACTTTAGGGTGGGGAAAAATGCAGATGTCACATGTTGCCTCACATCACCTCAGGTCACTTTTTGCCACCAGATAAATTAAGAAAAGCTTTTATGATTTAGAGATCTTTGGATATCAGAGCTGTAGGTAAGGGATTGTGGACCAGTATAAACTTGAACTTACTCTTGTATTGCCTTGATAGATTCCTCCAGTAGCTCTCTAGTGTATTTTCTCTTTCTGATTAGACTGTCAGCCTCTTCCTTTTTCCTTCCANTCTGGTAGATCTTCCAGCTGCTGTATGGGTTCAGGGGCTGGGTGTGGGGAACTCCTTGAATGAGTTTCCTGTGGGTATCATAATGAAGTACCACAAACTGGGTGGCTTAGAACAGAAGTTGATCGTTTCACAGTCCTGCAGGAAAGACGTTCAAAATCAAGGTGTAGGCAGGGCCATGCCCCCTCTGAACCTGTAGGAGAAGGATCGTGTCCCCTGCCTCTTCCAGCTTCTTACCAGGCCTTTGTTGGCTTGTGGCAGCGTAGCTCCAGTGCTCACACTGCCTTCCCTCTTGGCACGTCTGCCTCTGTGTCCAGATCACCAGTTTTATAAGGACACTTAACCCATAACACTCCCTAAGGCCGTGCTTCCCAGAAACCTGATGGCATCACTTTTGCCAGAGTAGAAAATGCAGAGAAGCCAAACTGTAGATCCCCCTGGTAATTGGCAAACTCGTGTGGGATGGAGAGTGTTTGACTTTGGACTTGACACCTCTGTGTATTTTACTCATCTGAAAGGTGATGCCCAGGAGATTAAAAGGTCCTGCTTCTGCTTATCAGGTGTTCTTTTCAGGCTTCTACTTGACTGCAGGCTGTGGTTAGAATCCCCCGTTGGATTCAGTGGAACTTGTGGTCTGGGCTGCACCCCATAGCCAGCCAGGAAATGGGAATGTGCACTTTAGGGTGGGGAAAAATGCAGATGTCACATGTTGCCTCACATCACCTCAGGTCACTTTTTGCCACCAGATAAATTAAGAAAAGCTTTTATGATTTAGAGATCTTTGGATATCAGAGCTGTAGGTAAGGGATTGTGGACCAGTATAAACTTGAACTTACTCTTGTATTGCCTTGATAGATTCCTCCAGTAGCTCTCTAGTGTATTTTCTCTTTCTGATTAGACTGTCAGCCTCTTCCTTTTTCCTTCCAGTACTGTCCTGATGAAGGGAAAGCTTGCAGCTTGATTGG